AGAGTATTGGGGAGAATGAGTGGGACCATGGATAGCGCACCATGTCTTAGATCTCTTAGACCACACCCTGGGCTCTCTGGATTGGACTATCAGAGTAGGGACTAATATGTGATGGCAATGCAGAGTGACACCAAATGTGGACATGTTAACGTAGCTAAAGATGGACCTACATATGTGGCATAATATGAAGCTAAATTTGGTTTTGATGTGATTGTTTAGGGCACAATAAATGGGAAGTGCCTGATCACGTTGTTTGAATACAAATGTGATGTTAATTACATGGCAAGTGATAACTTTTGCCTTTCCATGTTTTTTACTAAAATGTTGCTTTTATATTGGCTTGTAGGTGGAATTCAGCGCAGACCAGATTGAAGGTATGTAAAACTTAATTCACCTCAGTTCTATACTGTTACTTACAGTCCACAAAACTCAGCTGGCCCTCCATCAGAGAAATCTGAAAATCTGCCTTTATCATAAAATGTGACTTGCAAATTCCATCAATTAAAAACATACAGGGAGCAAAAGAGAAATAACAGAGTACAGCAATGTAAAAAAAACTACAATAGACATCATAACAGGTCTCAGCGTATCCATGACAGTTGGACACCTCATTCATTTTTGTATTTTGAAATTCCACAAAGCCATCAAATCCATTCTGAAGCCCATTTGTGGCTAATGAAGCTCAGAAACACTTCATGCGTACAGTCAGTCTTAGGAAGACTTTTACGGTTTCAGAAGCTTGACTGATTTGCATGCTTGAATAAGAAACCGCATATGTGGTTAAACATGTGGCTTCTTGCATGGAAAACACTGGCAACAAATGCATCAACTAACTGAACTTGTTAGTAAAAATAAATAGGACAACTGGTGTCAAGTTAAAAACACTCAGATTGCATTTTAAAAAGCATTTTGATCACATCACAGTTTGGCTGTAAAGAGTATCATTTAATAACGAAAGGGTCGCATGTCACAAATCAAGCCAGCAAATCCCTGTGACCAGATATTAACTTTAGCTTGTTTACATGCTTTTTAGAACTCTGTGTCACTAGATCAGCGATATCTCATTGTGTTCCAAGAGCCAACAGCCAAAAAAAACAAGAAAAAAAAAGAAAAGATCGGAAGATTTAAAGATTACAGATGGAAGCACAGTAAAATGATAGTGTAGTGTTTGACAGATAGAAACACCTGTGTGCTGTTGGTTGGAACCACATGACCAAACCTGAAGTCTGGCAGGCTGCTTGTTACACTGCAGTCAGCATTCCCTACTTTTACTCAGCTCGCCCACAGAGGGCCTTGCCTTTAAAAGGAGGAGCTCATATTCTCAGCTATGTTTATCAATTCCAAGGTGGTCTTTTAAAAGAGCCCATTGCCCCGCTGACTGAGAGAGAAGGAGACAGCTGAGATGAAAATAGTATGAGGGGTGACGAGATCGGCAGGAGAGACTCTATTCAGCCAGTAATACCACAACCTTTTGAGATGTCTTGCACTTGTTAGATATTTTCCTTGTCAGTTTGTAGCATAGCTGTCTCCACCTGCTGACAGGCAACAGCTAAGGCTGAAATATAAACTAGTGACTCGGTTTAAAAAAAGCATTTACACAAACTATAACTTCAATTTTTGAAGTAAGATATGTTATGTTTGCATATACATACAATCAGATGACAATGCATATCACATATATTGATGAGCAACTGTGCTAGTCTATAAAATAAACATCACAAGCTTCTTTTTATACAAACATAAATGCAAAAATATTGCAATACCTCAGGTTAGTGCTATTTTTATGCAATTAAATGTAAATGTGCCCCAAATGCAGTTCTTCTTCTTTAAATAGGTTTTTGCATTGCTGTAGTTTCTGTTTAATAAAGAAATTCTACAGTTAGAAGGAATATAACAGAAATGTCTTACTGTCCATGATAAAGACATAACAAACTATAATGATTATAAACTTTACCAACTTTGAGATAAAATAAAAATGGAAATTATGGATCATTAAGCTGGCAAAATCCTCTCTTGCTTCTGTTAAACAGACTACAGGGAGGCCTTCGGTCTGTTCGACAGGGTGGGTGACAACAAGGTGGCTTACAACCAGATTGCTGACATCATGCGCGCTCTGGGACAGAACCCCACCAACAAGGAGGTGACCAAACTGCTGGGAAACCCCTCTGCTGATGGTACAGTAATGACATTTAGTAACTGCTCCCTCACTTGATCACTTAAAGATTTGCTACAGAAGATGTTAGGGAGCATGAAATACATGACTAGATTCATTCTAATCCCAATAAAGATAAGTTAGCAATTTGCTTTTTGTATTGATGCCAGTATGACATGCTGTCGTCACTGGGCTAAAACAAGGAACATTACTAACTGAGGCATAGTTCAAAAGGCTAATTTGTCTAAACTGATTTTAATAATATGTGTGGTAAACATTAATGGATAGCTCTGGGTTTTTGGTAAAATATGCAAAAGAGGTGTACAGTGCTGCTGTCAAACACAAACGATAGCAAGTATGAGAGAGAAATTATCAGTAGCTGCTTTTTTGACTGGAAGCAGTCATGTTCAAAGAATTGAGAAATGATCGTCTGCTCATCAAAAGTGTCTTATATTGTGGTCAGGTCTGTGCCTTTGAGGAAATGGCATAATAAATTGTTTATGCTGCCAGCTAGTGGTCAACATTGTCATATTCATTCATAAACTCTCCCAAACTGTGAAGTGTAGCACAGAGCTATGCAATAAATGCTCACGCTTGTCCACGTCTTGTATTTTTCAGTACAAAACGTAGCCTGATCTAAAACTTTTTTGTTTGTTTTTAATCACACACACTTTGTATTCTAAACTAACAGAAGAACTATATTATTATAGTGGTTAACATATTTGCCTAAGACGAGAAAGATCCCTGGTTCAAGACCAGGAGGAGACACAAATCCCTTGAAGGGCATGTGGTATAAAAACCTATGCTAAATCCAATATGTGAATCTGCCATGGCAGCCCCTTTAAATAAGGGAGCAACTGAAAGAAGACAAATGATGGTGTAGGTGCAGATTTGTGCAAACTCAAGACTGCAATCAAGATCAAAATGACAAATGACCTAATAAATAAATAAACAAAGTAATAAATGTGCCTTAAAATAGGACTGCGCTGTGCTCAATCGTGAACCTGCTGAAGCTCTAGAACTCTGAGCCTTCCTTTAGTGTCACCTCTAGATCCAACTTACTCTACCTCCTTTCATGCAGACATGGCCAGCAAGAGAGTAGAGTTTGAGGGCTTCCTGCCCATGCTCCAGGCCATCATCAACAGCCCAAACAAGGCAGGATTTGAAGACTATGTTGAGGGTCTGCGCGTCTTCGACAAGGAGGGCAACGGCACAGTGATGGGTGCTGAGCTGCGTATTGTCCTGTCAACACTCGGTGAGTCAGCCTAGGATGCGTTTCCTTTGATCTGTTCAGGTGCGTGCCCGAGTCGCTTTGTGTGTTGTTAATATCAGATGTCCTCTGCCTCCCCCTGCAGGAGAGAAGATGACAGAGGCTGAGATTGACGCTCTCATGACAGGACAAGAGGATGAAAACGGCTGTGTCAACTATGAGGGTGAGCCACACAGTCCAACAACAGCTACATAAAAACATGATGATACTATTACTGCTGCTGATAGTATTCACACTGTTCAAAATAATTATTAACTCTATTATTATAGATTGTTTTATCTTATGTGAGAATTACTTTACAAGTTTTGCTTAATCTAACCTGTGAAAACTATTTGACTCCTTCTGTCTTGGAGCTTCACATCCCTGATGATGTCATTGCTTTTCTTTGATATTAATAGAAGTGTTGAATCCAGACTTTTTGGAGTTAACACACAGTATCTTAGCCTCGTGTAAGTCTCTCTTATAGTCTTAAAGAAGTGACTGTCAAACCTTTTCTAGTGTCATCTGTCCTCTAGACAAAAAAGTGTAGCTTAATAGATGAAGCTATTATAGACAGTACAAACTCTCATACTTTAAATGCTGTGAATCACAGAAAACAATATCTTAGAAACAACCACAGCAGAGATAGTTTCTTACTTTGCGATTTGCTCATAAAATGTAAACAGCAAAGAACAAAGTGCTTTTTATCAGCAAAGAAAATGTAATGAATGATGAGGGTGTTAACAGAGAAACTGCAGTGTCAGTCTTCACATTTAGTAAATGAAACATATGTTTATTTCATGGAAGTTTGAGAATGTATTTTTCTTCCAGTTCACTCAGTTTTCCCTCTCTTCCTTTCTTGTTTTTTTTTTTTTCTGTCTCCCGCCCCGGCCTTCGCCCGCAGCCTTCGTCAAGCACATCATGTCTGTGTAAGGACCCTGCCACCGTGGTGGTGAGCATCGTACATGTGCAGACCCCATGGTGTCGCTGCATTCGCTCGCTGCTTCCTGTACCATCTGTGGAAGCAGGGGGATCAAAGGACTATGAGATATCATTTCCTGAATCCTTGTTTTATTTTTTCAACACTTTCTTTTTCCTCTTTTGTCCAAACTGGTGCTTTTTATTTTCCTCTCTTCCTCCTCCTGTCACTTGGAAAGCTATCCTGATTACTCATGAGGTGCTTCTTTCGTTATCTTCACCAAAATCCCGCAGTGTCATTGGGGTTTATATTCGTCACAGAGGAACAGTGATGGATGGGAAGGCGGAATAACGATGACCATCCCTCCCCACTTACTGCCTGTCTGGCTCTCTATCTGCCAGTAAAGTGACTCGTTTGGCCCAGGACTGGCCATCAAAATGAATTCAATCCTCTTCCAATCTAACCCTCCCTAAGTCTTAACTTATTGTATCCTCTGCCATTTCACAATAAACTTTTCACACTCCCATTTAATTTCCCTCTTTTTGACTCCGTGTGTTGTACGCTGATATTTGGACATTTATTTTAAGCCAGATGTTTTCAAAAGGAAGTGGTTTGACATTTTGAAGTTATATACGCGGTGCTTTTTCTGGTTAGCGGAAAACAAAACAAGTACGTCACTTTTTTTCCCATTTTTTGGTCGTTTTATTGTCATTAATTATTGTAACTGGTGTCATATCAACAAGAGAAAAACTGCGTACATCTACTTGACCTTTTAAATACATTTACAGTTGCTGTAGGTTGGAGTAGGAGGTGGGGAAGGGGCACACAGAGATGGGGAATGCAGAAAAAACACGGAAGCAAACAAACAGTTGCAGGTGAGGGCAGTAAGTAGTGGGCAGGAGGGCAGGGCATACCACAAATGGTGTCTGAAAAAGAAACTAGATCACCCAAACACTTTTTTTTTCCTAACAGACATAACAGGAGTTGACTGAGTCTTTTTAACTTTTAGGATTTTTCAAAATATTTTTGTCCAATTTATTCTCCCGCATATTGCAACAAAACATCCAGATACGGTAGCGTCCGCTGTAAAACAGCAGGGGACCTGCACCAAAAAGCACACGCACAGACAGATTTCAGAGTAGCTGCATCTTCTGCTAAATATCAGGTCGCAAATTGTAGCATCTCCTCTGTGGTTCCGGCAGTCCCGATGAGGGCAATGTCAGCCTGTAATACTGGAGAAATGTCAGTGCTGTTTATTCTTGTGAGCTGCGTCTGAACAGACTTTCCTTTTGAGGATGTTTGTCGAATGAGTGCCAGTGTTTAATACTGCTGTGATGTATGGACAGGCTTCTGCGTTGAACCGCTGAGCAGGTGCAAGTGTGTGATGCACTTTGACATGACTGAGATGCATTCTTTAGCAACACCAAATCAGCTGTCTGACATTGTCACCAAGCATTACACTGTAAACAACTATTAACTACAAAACATGAACTTGTTTAATTTTTATCCAATAAATGAGGAAATAACTTACTAAAATCCTTATTTTAAATTACAAAATAGCCTCTTTTAAGACTTGAATCCATACATGCTCGTGGTAACATGACCTAGTTGCTTGCATAAATGCAATTTTACAGATTTTCAAGCCATTTTTGTCACTTCCTTTTAAAATGTTTTCAGGACATGTAGATGGCAAAGAACCTTTATTTTATACATGTTTCTATATATATTTGATAAATATATTATATATTGGATGACAAGAATGATTTGCAGTAAGGATGCGTGTTTTGATAGGGTGTCCATGCACGTTTACTGAACAAGAGCAACACGTGCGGTGTGGTGGTCGTGGCGTTATTTCTTATTCAAAGTAGAAAAAAGGCTGTTGCTTCTTCAACACTGATCCAAGACCAGTAAAGCCAATCTTTTGTCCCCACTATTTAGAGGTTACAGCAAACTTTTCTTTGCAACATCATTCAAAACGAGGGAGATCAAAATCAATCAGAAATAGGACGTTTGGGTTTAAAATAGACAGAAAACAGAATAAATAGGACCAAAGTACAGTAGCTCCTACTTTGAGTCTCTACTTAGAACCGGTTTAGCTGAGTAGTAGCGGTGATCAGTCAGCCTTAGGGTGGCAGGAGAGGGCAGAAAAGTTTGAATGGATCAGGATGAGGACGTCTTGGGTGCAGAGCAGCGATCCAGAGATCCAGTGTTCACAAACCCTGCTTGGCCAGAGCTGCAGTGACATCCTCCGCCAAGGTTGCTAACTGTGGGGAATCCATCATGTTGAGACTCCCGGAGGATGATAGATGGCTTTCGCGGATGCGGTGGGGAGACACTGAGCCAGAGAGACCTGGTGACTGGATGATGATCTCGGCTCCATGATCTACTCGGGCCTTGGCATTGTCCCGAAATGTCAACCTGTGGCTTTCAATCTGTTAAAGGCAGATGGTGTGATGTGAGAAGCGAATAGGGAAAAACAAATATTACTATCAGACGTCATATGAAATATTGATTCATTTTAGAAACGGCTTTAGAACAAGTGGAAAAACTCCCATGCCTCCAGAGGATTACTGATCACTTATTAAGAGCAGTCATGTATGGACTGATGTATATACTGTACCTTTACTGCTAAAGGAATACAGCAAGTTTTTGGAAGATTGGCCTGGTGGAAACACCGTTTTGTAAGATTTAAACTTAATTGACTACAGAACTATGGAAACAAATAGTTAAGATGCACACACACAATGACGTGAGAGACTGATGGTCATACAGAAAATGATTATTTCAAGTTATTGCTACTACAGAAAAGTTTTCCAGGACTCTGCAGTCATGTGAAAAACCAAGTACAACCCATGGTTTAATATCTTCTAGAACCACCTTGAGCAGTAATAATCTTAAGTAATAATTTTCTACACGACGTACTCTTCTTTACGTTGCATCAGTTCATTGTGGTTTTCTCAGAGATTCTATTACCAATTTTCTGGTTTGCTTGTTCTTAGTTTTTCACATGACTGCAGAGTCCTGGAAAACCTTTTTTCTGGTTTGCAATGCAACAAGATAGTTGTCTAGTTGCATTACCCAGTTTCAGCCAAGCTTTAACTGTCAGACAGATGGCCTCACATAGAGTACTTATACTGAGGAGTTCACGGTCGACCGACTGAGTGCAAGGTGCCCAAGTCCTGTGGCAAAAACAAACCCAAATCATCACACCACCATGCTTGACAATTGATATAAGGTGCTTGTGCTGATATGCTGTGCTTTGGTTTTGACTACATGGAACAGTGTATATTACAGTTAAACATCTAAATGATGTCTGATTGAAAAACACGCTCTAGAAGTCTTGCAGGTTTAGATGCAACCTGAGCTTGGTTGCTATGTTCTTTGTAGAGAAAAGCTTTCTCCTGACAACCTTCCAGACAAGACGTATCTGTGCAATCCTTTTCTAATTGTACTGTCATGAACATTGAGTCTGAGATGTAGGCCTTGGGCTTTTTTTGCAATTTCTCTGACTACTGCACAGCCTGAGATTTGGGTGAATATTGAGTAAAGGGAGAGTAAAGGCTATTACTTATGAGGGCTTATATTTAAATTGATGAGTAGGACAATCTCTCAATAACTTGATGTTTTCCCTTAAATGGCTGATTAGAAGCATGGAGCTGACACTCACCGTGACGTGGCCTCCACCAGGAATGTGGTGAGCATTTTCCAGGGAACCCACCTTTGCTTGGGCTTTGTCTTTGAAGTCCAACTTCACACTCTCGATACGCACATTACCACCTCCTGTTTAAAAGCAGAAGAAGTGTAAAAACTATTAAGTGAGAAGAGCGCTATATTAATTGTAAGTATTTATTTCAATTTTGAAATTGAAACAGCATCAAGTGAAAAAAAATGCGAATACTTAGTCACCAAATATCCACCTAATATCTACTCAAGACACGCCCACCTTATTAAGAAGTTATTAAAGGTCAGATGAGAGAGTGAGGTTAAAAATTGTGCAGAGTTAAAGTATGAAACCCCAGTAGCTTCTCAATGAGAGTTTAGGAATAGATGAAAGACTGTAATAAACATGGCAGAATGAACAGCAGGTGGCGCTGCAGGACAGTCCAATACTCTCTATGGGTAAATAAAAAGGGGATTCCATATTTCTGCCTGGGGCTTTGCTGCCAAAGTACTGGTAGTGCAACTAAATCTTTCCAGTTCTGTAAATTAAGCTGGAAATTCAGAAAATGATTTCAAAGGCCAATTCAGATAAATATAAGCACAAGTTCTGTGCAGTTATCCGGAAGAATAAAAAACATAAAACCACTTTTATGGCATCTAATAATTATGATTTATATTTTAATTGTAGAGCTTTTAACATGACTGTCACAGAGCATCACACTGCCCTACAGCATCAGAGAATTTATTTTGTTGTATTAATGGAAAAGAAATTTCAAACTTACCAACAGCAACCCCTATAACCAATATGCAAGTTTTCTTTTAGTGCAAGTCCTATGGACTTAGGAATGTTAAGGGATTACTGTGAAGGCAATTTATTACTTTGCATTTCAGAAATTTGGATGAACAAACATTAAATTGAATGTAAAACCCTCTCCAGGTTTGATGTAACCCAATTTATTAACATCATATCCCACACTCTAACACTCAAGGTATAAAGACAAATTTCAGAAAATGCTGCCAGGAACCAAAACACCTCCTACATGCGGCCACCTGCGGACACATCTATCAGGCTGTCAGTTTACTGCTTGCTTCCACTGTTGTTGCAAATTTAGATACAGACTGGTCCAGGAGCTGCATCTGATTGACATGTTATTTCAGGAGTTAATAAAAAAACTGCCAAATGAATACATACATTCAAATAGGGCAGGAAATTCTTTGTCTAACAAATACAAGAAAACCGGTCTTAGAACGTCTAATCTGTGTCCCTTGGTATTATCGTGTAATGATAAGACCAGGTGGAAGCGCACAGGGGTTTACCTGGCATTGTAAGCCAGCAGCATCAAACAGAGTTGGGTGATGAATGTTGAACTCAACACTGTTTACCTGTCTGGCTTGTCTACTATGCACTTCCTTATGTCACTAAAAGAAAAAATGGGAGCGTGCAGTTCATCTTATCTACTCACATTTTTAGCTTCACATGCAGTCATACCTTGAGGCTTTCCAGTATAACCACAGTCTGAACTCAAAAGCTCATGAAATTTAGATAAATTGCTCAAGTGTATCTAAGCAGTTCGACGGCCTCCTGGACATCCCACATATAAAATTCATATTTGAAAGTAAGGGACTGCAGCAGCAACCTTCTGGTCACAGCACACTCACTGCAGTGCAGTGTTGCCCTCTTTGTAGGGGAACTGCAAACCTTTACCTGGCCGATGATGGATGTTGTCTAGAGAGCCACACTTGGAGGTCACATGGCTCAAGTCAATCTTCTTGTTCTGTATTTGTACCTGGAAGGAACACAGTCAGGAAAAGGCAAGTTTAGAGCCCACAGTTCAAGGCAAGATCATCAGGTCCCCCCCCCGATTTATCAAGAGGAATACATCTGATCTAGATTGTACCTGTAACCGAAGCAACCTGTTTTCAAGCTGTAAGTATGTCTTGAAAATAATTTGTCCCATTTATAAAACTGAACAGATACACATAACAGTGAGAAGTGTAAGGCAAAGAGAGGGCAAGGACACACCGAGGAGGTCTGAAGAGCAACCCGCAGAGAAATGTGTAAGGAGTGAACTGATGAGACAGCAAACATAAAGCTTTAATCACAGCACGATGAACAAGGACAGATACACCACATCCTGAGATGAATCACGCAGACACGCCTATGGTCAGCAACCTTTGCCATGTCGCTGATTTAGTACAAATGTCTTTTGTAACCAGTGATTTTGTGTCCCGTAATTTCAACCCTCTTTACAAGGCCCGGGACACAAAATGACATAAAAAGTAAGATGACACATAGAAAGTCACATAAAAAAAAAAAAAACCACACCGCAAGCACACAATACTGTATGCAGCCTTTACCTACAATATATCTTGTTGTGGCCTTATTGTTTTGTGAAGCTGTGGACTGACAAAGAACACCAAGTCTCTTACACATGCAAAAGACTAGCAAAAGTATACCATATGAGTTTTAAAGAGAAGAGATTATAAGTGCTTTGTGTCAGCGTGGGTGAACATCAGGCTACTGTTTGGCACATCGCTCCTGTAGTCATGTCACTTAGGCATCTGTTAACCCCACTGTTGATGTTTTTCATTTGTATGGTATGTGTTGATTTCTTACATAACACAGTACCTTCTGCAAATGCAAATTCTTGACCTATTCATATAACTGAACATAAACCAGATACATGCATTTTTCTTCAGATGCGCATGATTGCTTAATTTATCAGTTCTACTAAGAAGTGAAAACACCAATCACACACAACATTAAAAACCATCTTTCTGAAGGTCTTTGTACAAAGCACCTTGGACCCATTAGGACTTATGGAGGCCCTGTATGATGATGGTAGTGGGTCCTTTAGGGTCCTTTAGTGTGCTGGAGTCTCTGTGGATCAAGTTTCTTCTGTGTGCTGCAGATCATCATTAGGGATCTTGGAGCCAGGATCGTCACCTTGGACTTTTGGTCTCTTAAAGTCATTGCTGAAGAGTTTTTGTGGCCTGGTGGAGCACATTGGTCTGCTGGGAAAGGCTGCTACCACTGAAAAAGGCTAGTATGCCTTCTTATGTAGGTTATACATGTAAAAGTATCATTGATGAACACAAGGATCCAAAGTCTTTAACAGTAAGAACCTTCATTAATTGCACATTTTTCATAATAAGATTACTAAACAATTATAACACTTTTCGTAATAACACTGTGATACATTTTTTTTTATTTAAGCAATCAGTGGGTTTAATGTTGCCGATGATTGGTGTAGATTTTACACATTAGCAGAGTAGTACGATATCCATTTTTAATTGTTTCTCAAAAGAGAACTGCAATAATTGAGTGTTTGCATGCTTAATTTGGAGAAATGACATTGTTTTCTTTATTTATATCAAATGTAATAAAGATTTTCTGACTAATAGTTAATTATGGCTTTAATTTTTTCAAACCTTTGCCTCAGTTTTCTAGTGAGTTTTTTTAAAGTCTAATTTATCAGAGGCAATACGAACTGGCTCTTTTATACACTGACGGGAGCTGATGTAATCTCCAAATATAATAATTTGCAACAGAGGGAAGAGTAAAGAGCACTTCTCATGAAATTATGCACAGTTATATGCAACAACTTTTAGTAATGTTTGATTGCAAATGTTAATCTGCAATTTAATGTCCTTACGTTCAGCAACTCAGCCAACCACCGCTCTCCACCTTCGCTCTCCTGAGCGACCTTGACTTGTGCTGGGCTTGTCCTAAAAATCTGCAGGAACTGTCAGTTGAGCGGCCTTTGCGCTATTCTTCACTTGATGTGTACTGACACTCTATTTGAGACTCTCAAAACTAAGATGCTGCAATATATGAGCAAATGTGCTACCACGTGTCTCTTTAGGTTGACGGCGGTTTTCTGCAGATAATTAAAGACGAGCGATTACAAGTAACATGTAAGAATACAGAATAATACACACAATGCCAACTCTGATTTCACTACTTTGAGGCCGCTATTGTAAAACTGGGCACAGAATAATAGCTGTTTCTTGTTACACAACAGATGAATTTAATCACTACAGTCACCTGAACAGATAATATCTGCTGTGCCAAAAGCACTGACCTTATAAATGTTCCTGGCACTACTTTTTTCAGCTGCTGTAGCAAGAATCAAATAAAAAGAGGTTTTATGGGAACAGATCATTCTGAGGGAAGTGATATAAAGTCAAGAGATAAGTTTTAACTGTCTCATTGTTATTAAGCTTGCATAACTGTGCATTGTTAATGTGCATTATTCAAATCAGAAACTGCAGATGGAGCGCACACTATACCTGCTGCCTTCAGATGGCTGTAATCAGTCTTAATCAAGTGCTTCATGCAGCGTGCTACCTGTTGTGGATGAGAGATGCTGGCAAGAGTTTTGCTAGCAATGAGTGGGCTAATTTTGTTAAGCACTAAGTCTACTTTCTCTTCTGTGTGTTTCTGCATATGAAGAAGAAAGCCTTTATTAGCTTTATTTTCATCGTACATAAAGAAAATTCATTAAGATTTGATGAGCTTCTCTGTCCAGTACAAAATACAATATAGGATTAGAAAAGCATTAAGCAGAAAAGTGTAACAAACATGAATATGTACAAGCAGGAAGGAGCTTTTGGTACCAGAAGCTTTCTGGGTTTATTTGTTTTGTTTTGTTTTTGAACTTGTAGTCCAAGCAGGCTGTGTCTGCATGCAGTTACAAAGTCAAGATGGGGATCATAAAGACATTGCATTTGGTAAAATGCAATACTGAAACCACTGGCTATCATCTGATGAAGACTTAGCTTTTTTTAACATGCCCGCATTTTGAAAAGGATATATTTTTTCTAATCTCCTGATAACTTGGCTACATCCTAATATTAGCTAGTGCCCTTAGAAGCTAAGTCAGCAGACTAGTCAAATGTCAGGTTCTGGAGGCAGACACATTCAGCCCTTGGTATCATTACTTGCAGGACACAAACCACTGGTGGAGAATAATGCAAAGATGAAGAGCAGTCTAGTAAGAGCACTGCAAATGAATGAGTGACTTAACTATTAAACTGAGAAACAGTAAGGCAAAATAAAAATACAGGAAAACACAGAGGAAACAGAGGAAACACAGCACAGCACGGCACATAAATAATACCGACAACAACACTGACACAATGGGCTTGCAGCACAAGACTCACGTTTCCACCTCCTGCCGAGTAGCCACGCCTGTCCAAGGACCCACACCTAGACTGAACATGGCTATAGTCCAGTTTAACACTGGGGATGAAAACCTGCAGGGTGGAGGTGAGGAATGAGGTGGGAAAACGCTTGGGCTTAAGTCTTTTAAACAGTTTGTATACTCCCACTGTTTAAATAGATGTCTGACTGTGTTTGGCGGTACAATTGGACTAGTAGTTTCCCTGTTGCCCAGGACAAACATCATTCAACTGATACGATCACTTTAAGCTCAGAGGAAAAGACAATTTGATCTGACTCATGGCGTGAGCTGTGACAGTCTGTGAGCCTTGGTTATGTACCAAAATGCAACAACTGATGAACCTTTAGAAGCTAAAAACACAATTGAAAGTTCTTTGATTTGAGGCCACTACTTTAGGGATTGAGGATGATGAACATGTGAGTGTGCTGTGACGTGTGCTGACTCTCTGTAGCTGCAAGGAGAAAAAGCAGGAGTGAGATGCAGACGAAGCAGAGTTGGAACAGTACTGAAACAACAAATAAATAGCTTTCATTTTTATACGACAGCACAGCAAAAGCAATGGGGGTTTACACCAGATAAAGAAGTGACAGTGCATACACTTCTTACACATTTTGTGAATTAGAAAAGATGAGGACAACGGAGACTTTCGGGTATGTGGCCTCTGAACTGTTTTCCTTTTCCTTCACCGCTTAATGAAACACAAGGAGTGCTTTCAAATATGTGGACATCTGTTCAAAGAATATGGAAGACAATCAGTCTCGGTTCAAAACACTGCTGGAACAATGCTTATGTGCCGATGGGCTCAAGACAACCAGAGGCAATAAAGAACATATAAAGAATATCTCATTTGTGGGGGATCAGACGTCCTTTCTTATGCTATATTGAGAATTTCTTTAATATGCAACAGACATAGACAAAGAGGAAGTGTTTTCATTCAGTTCTCAATTAGCACAAGGTTTTCTGCTGTTACTTCCCTTCAAACATCGGGTATGCACAAGTGGTCTCATTAAACAGCTCCCGTGACCTATAAATGGACATCGAACCATAACTTTCCACCCACTGCCAGTAAAATGTTACACTATCAATAAATTTTTAATAGCTAAATATAACAGAGAATTTATTCCCCTTCTTTAAAAGAGGAATTATTTTTGTCTTTCTTCTTAATGCAACCTAAACACAAGGTAGCAAACTAAATGAATAATGAGAGCAGATTATTCATGCTTGTAACACCACAGAATATCCACAAGATATGCAAACCTCGTCTTGCCACAAAGCACCATCACTATAGCATAGCATGTGACCTATTATATCTCATGTGACCTAGAATTGTGGGATAAACTAAAGTGAGGAAACAAGCATTTTATGTACCCTCAGAAGGAAATAAATGGAGGAAAAAGGGGAAAAAATAGAAGAAGAGGATAGAAAGAAAAAGAGAACTCAACTAGTGGGAGATTTCTGGGGAAGGAAAAACACATTTAATCTATTGTCGACTCACTATTATTCGTATTATTCTACACGAAATGTAGGACTAGACCTAATACACACAATAGTGCAGGATTAAATGTCAAACTAATCACAGATACATGACGGGGGTTTTTTGG